TGCCTAATTTTGGAAGAATAAAACTCAACTTTCCAGCCACCAGGATCATGAGCCAAATGAACCTTTTTTCTTTATAAATTAAATAAATAAGTAAATTAAATTTTAAAATAAAAGCAACACTGACATAACAGAAAGTAAAAAGAAAAAAATGAACTAGACATGAAACTGCTTCATAGGGTAGAATCAAGGAATTAAAAACTGCAAATAAAAAAATTTCAAAAAATTACAGTCAACTAGAAACATAAAAGACTAATTAGTTGGATTATACGTTATATAAAATAATTTAAGAAGCTACTACAAAGACTATGATTATAGGAATAAACATTGAATAAATCATATAAGCAATTCTTTCAGTTTCTATTCACAATATTTCTATTTCATGACAATGAAAAAAGTGAATTTTTGAAGGATAACACTATTCAAAGGCAGATTCCCCACAGAGAACAAAAAAGAAGTCATTTCTCAAACCCCAGATCTGATTAAAAAGCAATATACACCTAGTCATATGTAAAGAAAGGAATTCTTTAGAACCTTCAAAAACTAACCACTGCTAATAGCTAGTAGACCAATGATTTAATCCAGGAAGGCAGATCTAATCAGGCCTATACCGCAGCATTTAGCTAAGATGGCCCTGATAACACTGAGAGTATCACTTACTTTTGACATAAACAGTACTTCCACTTGGCAAGACAACTACATTGGAGGCAGGACTGGCAGGTCTTGGAGACTTAACCGTTGCTATGCTGCCACTTGGAACAGGGGTAGAGGTTGGGGTTGACGTGGTACTTGTGTAGGAATAGCAAACCACTACTGAAGGAACGATAAAAAAGTTTGCTGTTAACTTTCACCAAAACTGTCCAGGCATACAGAAAAATTATTTTTATTGCAGGCCAATTTTAACATTTTCATGTGATCATAAGTCAGAGGCCAGTACTAGGTATTAGTTCTACAAGTTAAAAGGTATTAATACCCTTTCCTAAAAATCATCATTTAAATGGGTTTTCCCTACAACAGCTTGTCTACAGGTGACACTGCCAATGGAGAAGAATGCAGTTACAAAGAAATCAAGTTTAAAACTATACTGAGAAAAATGAAAGTCATTTTTCATTCATGGCAAAGTTGGGCAACAGGCACATACTTGTATTCCCTTTTAATACTAACAGCACCAATGATGCGGTGAGAGATAATTTTTCCCTGACCATAGCAATTTCCAAGGTGGCCACTAGGGGTGAATCAAGATAAGGTTCTTTTATATAAACCAACTCACTAGTCATTTGCCATCCAAGTAGTACAACAATAACTCAACTAAAATAATGACATCTTATTTCAACCTAGCATTCAGTGAAGGAACACAGCTCACCAACAGTAAGAATAGCTTACAGGCACCATGCTCTGTGCTAAATCCTTTCCATACATTTTCACTAATTCTCACAATATCACATCCTCATTTTAAAAATGGGAAACCCAAGGCTCACAGAAGCTAAGACTTGCTGGAGGTCACATAGCTCGGAAATGACAAAGTGAGATTCAAACACGTATTTAACTAGTGGAAACCCTACATTCTTTCCACTCTACCAGAGATTTGGTAGATGGAAAAGGTAAAAGTGGAAAGAGAGAAAAGATACCTCTCCAACAACGAAGAAAACAGGAACTCAATGTAGGCCAAGTTTGCACACAGATAACTGTCTTCCTCCAAATATAGCTTCCTTCAGCCTAAAACAGAGCCTGGCATGCATGAAAAGAGTATCTCACTCTGCTCCACAGCCCACTGCTAGGCAAGAAGAGACAATTCCCCAGAGTAATCTGACAAATGCATTGTTTCCAAGGTCATTATTATGCAACACCAAACTAAACCACTGGAGTCAATCCAAATATGCTCTCTCAAATTTAATATTATTCTTGGTGAGAGAGAATTCGAGGATTTTTAAAGCATATGTTAATTACTGGATCAAATAAAATGAGAAAGCCTTTCTGCCAGGTAATGGATTCAGAAGCACATTGACTGGAATGGAGTAGCAGCATATATCACGGATGCCAGAAAACAAAAACTGAGCTTTATTTTCTAAAGCTATCAGTTCGGCATCTTTCTTTAGCAGCTAAATGA